AACTTTTATCCCAATACTTTTGTTATTATTTAATGTTTGCAACACGGAAATGTAATTACGTTACTTAGTTACTTTTTATGGAAAGTAATGCATTACGTTTTTGGGTTGGGGGGGGGGGGGGGGGGGGGGGGGCTTTTTAAATGTCTAAAATGTTATAAATAAGACCATTTAAAAATATTTCTCAATTGAAATGAATTCATTGTGTAAAAAACATTTGAAATAAATGAATGAAGACTTGTTTCGTCCAGAGTTTTTGAACAAATCTCTTGAATGAATGATTCAGACATCAAATTTTAACAGTCACTGGTCGCCACCTACTGGCATAATGTAACATATACAATCATTATTTAGTTCCAATTATTCATTTTGATCGCGGCTGCCACAACATCAGAGTCTATAGCCGGACTATAAACTTTTATCCCAATACTTTTGTTATTATTTAATGTTTGCAACACGGAAATGTAATTACGTTACTTAGTTACTTTTTATGGAAAGTAATGCATTACGTTACTTTTGCGTTACTTTTTAAATCTGGACAGGGCTTGCTTGTTTGTTTTTAAAATAAAAAAGTTATATTTTTGGCAAATATAAACGCCTTTTAACACCAAAAGTGCAATTGAGTTGCATTATTTTTATTCATTTTGAGGAATACTGAATCTGTTTTTTTTTGTGTGTGAGTGAGATGAATTAATGCATATTCATATTTACTTTAGAACTAGAGTAACATCTTCTGATTTCTGTCACCATGGCGACACCAGAGCTGTCAATCAATAAATTGGAAAAAAAGTAACTCAGATATTCTCTTGTAAATTAAAAAGTAATGCGTTACTTTACTAGTTACTTGAAAAAAGTAATCTGATTACGTAACTCGCGTTACTTGTAATGCGTTACCCCCAACACTGCTACTGTGTAAGTATACTGTTTGTGAACCTGTTTACTGCTAACTAGTGAAACTCTACAATAATATTACGAGCTGCAGCTCAAAATACATGTTAGATGAAAACATTGTGACATACAGTATAATTTCATTCTGGAGAGTGATGGAGAGGTAACATTAATATGGTTTTCTTGTATTTAACCCTCAGGATTGCTTACTTATAATGTGAACATACAGCTTTTTAAACAACAATTTTAGTTCAATAATATTTATTTAAAATTTTGAGGAGATCTTTTGGTACTAAATACTATTTGTGCAATAAATATGGTCCATTAATGACTTAAAAAATATATTTTTCTCTAATATTTCTATTAGTTATATTACAATTAATGTAGTATTTAAGATTAAAATAGAGAAAAGGGTTTTAAATTCCAATGCAAAGAAGCAAATTAGAGTAATTTGTGGCTGGAAAAAAATCACTTTAATTTGTAATGCCACGGTTTACCCACTAGGTACCTGTATGGCTCTTTACTAAATATACATGCATCTACTAGTTTCTTAAAACCTAAACCCTATTGAGCATCTGTGGGGCATCCTCAAGCGGAAGGTGGAGGAGCGCAAGGTCTCTAACATCCACCAGCTTGGTGATGTCGTCATGGAGGAGTGGAAGAGGACTCCAGTGGCCACCTGTGAAGCTCTGGTGAACTCCATGCCCAAGAGGGTTAAGGCAGTGTGGGAAAGTAATGGTGGCCGCACAAAATATTGACACTTTGGGCCCAATTTGGACATTTTCACTTAGGGGTGTACTCACTTTTGTGGCCAGCGGTTTAGACATCAATGGCTGTGTGTTGAGTTATTTTGAGGAGACAGCAAATTTACACTGTTATACAAGCTGTACACTCACTACTTTACATTGTAGCAAAGTGTCAATTCTTCAGTGTTGTCACATGAAAATATATAATACAATATTTACAAAAATGTGAGGGGTGTACTGTTAAATACTGTATATGTCTATATAGTTTTTGCTGTTTGTTTTTTTTTTTAGTTTTAGTTTGTTATTTTAATAGGCCACTTCAAGTTGAAAACAAGAAATGTTGCCCTGACAGCTAGCTGAAATAAAACAAGTTATGCCCCTTGCTCTTGCTGGTATTTATAATGCAGTGTTATTCAGCATACAGTAGTTTTGTGTTATTCTGTGCAGGTCTGACGTGCCTTAGCTGAGCGTAGGAGAGCGTCCTCTGCTGTCTTGCGGTCACAGCTGCTGGCATACCAAACCTTTTTATACACACCAGCTTCCTGTGTGAGAGAACAGGACAGTTAGACTGACAGACACTGTAAGTGAATGCTGGGATGTTCTTGATTATAGTAGTTATGCTGCGAACTGAGACACACAAACATATGGGGCATTTTTCATTTTCTGTCAGAGCCAAACCCTACAAAATAAAAAAAATTAAAACATATATGTAAAGAAGTAAATGCATTTAAAGGGAAGTCAGTAATTGCAATCACCTCTTCAGCATCTCTAGCTGATCTGCTCTCTGAAGGCAACGTCCCTCTGCCTGTGGAAATAAAACAATATTAATCAATTGCTAGAAAAAGAAACTTCATCAAGGCTGTAAGAAAGTTATAGGCATATAAATGTGTCTATTGCAAACTGAAAAAGCTTGAATCTTACTTTGGGAGGGAAGCTGTCGAGGCGGAGGCATATATCTATAGCAGAAAAGGAGACTGTAGTTTAGTCCTTTTGTTCATGAAATTATAATAGTTTATGCTTACAGGAGAAAATGAAACTCTTTTCTTTTTTACTTGGCTCGATGGAACCCTGTTGGCATCGGGCTCGGCATGGTGTCTGGTGGGCTTCGTGATATAGTTACTGGTGTTGTTTTAATAGATGTGGCTGTAACAGAGATCATGCAATTGTTAATAGGTGACTTTAATCTCTACTCTAAAACAATACAAGGTCAGAGTTAAAATTGCTCTTTATAAATGTGCAGCAAACTCTCATGTCAGCCACATCTACAAGTCATTGGCTATATTCAGAATAGCCTACTACCATACTAGTACTACTTGAGCAGTATGCTAATGTTCTGTATGCATGCATGGATCTGCAACTGCTTAATTTGTCTGTCAAGCTGTGCATTTAAAACAGAGCTTAATTTATGGAATACTGCATCAGTTTAACCAAATGCAGTGTAGATTTTATTTGTGCACTGCTACTTTTCTGTATGTATGCATGCATGCGTGGATCTGCCAAATTGTGCATTATAAAACAGCTTAATTTGTGGAATACTGCATCAGAAACATGCAGTATTCACATTTTCTGTACGGTTTCATGGATGGATCTGCCAGCTTGTGCTGGAATACTGCATCAGAATCGTGCAGCATGCAAATTTTCTCTATGCATGCATGCATGGACCTGACGAATTCTGCATTTTTTTGCATTATCAATCAGAACTTACTTTGCTGAAAACTGCATCGGAAACGTACATGCAAATTTTCTGTATGCATGTATGGATCTGCCAAACTGTGGATTATGAAATGGAGCTTGCTTTGTGGAATATTTGTGCAGTACAGTAGTTTTCTTGCATAGATCTGCCAAATTGCACATTAGCTTTGTGGAATTCTGCACCAGAAACATGCAGTATGCTATTTTTCTGTATGCATCCATAATGCAAATTGCACATTATAAAACAGAACATATTTTGTGGAATACTGCATCGGGTTGACTACCAAATTTAAAGACGTTGTTTAACTTAGATTTATTTTGGAGATCATTAATGGGCATCTCTTGCTGAATTACAAGTGCAATGTAATGAGGTCACATGACCACAGTGTCGAATACTGCTTGAAACATTTATTGCAGCATAATGCTTTCTGTTTTGCATCTTACTATTTAAAATAGTGCAAGCCGTATGCTAGTCTGTTCTGGACATAGCCATTGCTTTTTCTGTTCTTTTGTAGTGATTTTGATAGTTACCTTCACTGTCTCTGTGAGCAATGTTTGGTTTCTGCAAAAATGGACAAGTATTTGTCACTGAATGTTTTGATTTACCATTAAATAGAGATTAGATAAGATAAACGAGTCCATACCGGTGTCAAAGCAGGATTAGGTTTCTTCCTGAAAGATCAGCAGTGATGAACTGTTAGATAGTAATCTGATGTTATGGCAGATTGATTCATTATCGTTCAGTGTTTAAGGGAGTCACTTACAGGTCTCTAGGTCGCGGTGTGGGCATTGATGGTCTCCGGGCCTCTGTGGCCTCCTCTGGCCCTTCACTGACACCTAATGACAATCAGACACACGTTACATACATGGTTTTTCATGCATTCATTTGCTCGGGTTTGGTTTGTGACTGATACTCACTATCGTCTGCGTCACACACCTCATACTCGTCCTCTGACTGTGGTTCCTGCTTAAAACACACATAGACCATCATCATGTTCTCCATTCAAAACATGCATTTACACTCTTATATCTACATATAGGTTGCTTAGTTACATGCTAATCACATGCACATGTTGTGAATGTGCACCATGTCTTATTTTTAAATGTTATGTAAAAAGTAATAAAAAAATCATCAATACTCACTGGAGTTATTGTTGGCATTCTGATGTTCATTCTGTATGAACAGATGAAACATGTCAAACATTTTTATTATTATTATTTGTGCAATCAACTTTTCTTTAAAACTCATTTCTCAGGGATATTTTGTAGTGATTTGACATTGTCATTGTCTTATAAACGTTTAGCATTATTAGAGCACCAAAATAATGAAACTGAAGAAGGATGTATATATATATGCATCTAACGTATTTTGATAGAAACTATAGGCAATATTTTGATATGGTTATAATGATAAATATTTGTAAAGGTGCTAAATAATTGAACTGGTGAAAGCAGAGCTAATCTAGTGGTTTGTAATGGGTAATAATGGTTGTGTAATACCGTGGACTGGCTTTAGGTAGCGCCATATGTGTGTTGGGTTGTAGAGTCGTGTTACTCCTGCTGATCAGAATAAAACATTTTTTTCACAGAGAACAGAACAGAGAAACATGTGATGTGTGTCTCAGTAACGAAGGACGTGAGGAAGTGCAGGACTGAATCATTAAGGGCTGATGTTGCACTTTTAGAAAGACAGTCATATTAACACTGTTACTGTAAGTTTGACCAAATGTAGTTGTGTAGATTTTAATGTGTGAATATTCTAGTCCCATGTACACTCTTAAAAATAAAGCTGCTTCACGATGCCATAGAAGAACCTTTTTTTGGTCTAAATGGTTCCATAAAGAACCTTTAACATCTGAAGAACCTTTCTGTTTCACAAAAGCTTCTTTGTTTTTGCGAAAGAAGGTTTTTCAGATTATAAAAAGGTAAGAAAGAGATGGTTCTTTAAAGAACCTTTGACTGAATGCTTCTTTGTGGAACCAAAAAAGGTTCTTCTATGGCATCGCTTGAAGAACCTTTGAAGCACCTTTATTTTTAAGAGTGTACTGTTTAATTGCTGCCTTAAATTTTAAGTCAAAGTTGCATGTTTTTATCCATACTGAATATTATTAGTGCTGTAATCACTGCTAAAGAAAAGTGTTCAACATAATTGTGTTAAAGTTTAGTGTGTGTAATAAAAGTAATAAAAAAGGAGGGTTGATTTTGAAGATGTTTTACCTTGTCTTAGACTGAGAATTCTCCTATAATTAAATACAAAGCATTTTGTCAGAGCATTTGTAAAGCAAATGAATAGTCCATAAATTAATATGATATATAATGCATGATGTTATTTGTTGTACTACCTGTCCAGGTCATACTGTATTTCATGCCAAAATTCTATCTATCTATCTATCTATCTATCAGCATTTTAAAAACTATAGCATGTCAATTTCCCCATTTTTTTATTAATAAAAATGATTAAATAAGTATGTACATTTATTGCAGCTCTCACTCAAGTGGAATGGTGTTCTTGTAAACATTTTCCAGCATTTCAGTGATATTTAAATTCTTAAATATTTAATGTCCATATTTAAAATGAGTGTGCATTACTGTGAAGCACACCAATTAGTGTGCGGTGCTTGGCAGTGGTCAAAAAGGATTTAATAACGACTTCTGCTGGGAGTCTTTATGCGGATGGTGTGGAAAAAAACACCTTAATAAAATCACTGACTAGCTCCTGTAAATGTTGAAATGACCTTTGTGTCCTCATGAGAAACCATTACCGTCTGAACAGTAAATTGCATTCCAAATGCATGAGTTTTAACAATAACAATTCCGAAAGTAAACGGCGTCAGTTTTGATTTGATGTGGACTTTCTGATACAGAAAGCGTGATCCTCACCCACATACTCTCCTCTGGGGTTGGTGATGGACGGGCTGATCGTAAAGGCCTTCATGTGTCCTTCAAGCCTCGGCGGAGGTTCGTAGTTATCGTCATGATCACCCTGAGGGTCCTCGTACGTATCGCTGTCCTGGTATATTTAAAGACGTATATGTGATCAATACATTTCCTGTCTCTTTATATGTCATGCTTTTACATCAGTTAAAATCTGTGCAAGTGTAAAAAAGTTTTGCTCATTCATTTTGAAAATGTTTCACTTAAAGTTTAGTTATTTCATCTCTAATATCTTTGACGTGTCAGCAGACATTACTCGTTTCAAATAAATGTATAACTTAAGATTTGATTGAATTGGATGTACATGATAGAATTATAGTTATAGTATTAATTAATATTTAAAAACATTTTTTCATTTTAATTGACATTTTCTGTTTTAATTACTTTTTATATTTGAATTTTTAAGTAATTTAGTTTTGTCATTTTGTTAGTTAAAACAAAAAATTGTTTTTATAAATTTTCACCCACATACTCTCCTCTGGGGTTGGTGATGGACGGGCTGATCGTAAAGGCCTTCATGTGTCCTTCAAGCCTCGGCGGAGGTTCGTAGTTATCGTCATGATCACCCTGAGGGTCCTCATACGTATCGCTGTCCTGGTATATTTAAAGACGTATATGTGATCAATACATTTCCTGTCTCTTTATATGTCATGCTTTTACATCAGTTAAAATCTGTGCAAGTGTAAAAAAGTTTTGCTCATTCATTTTGAAAATGTTTCACTTAAAGTTTAGTTATTTCATCTCTAATATCTTTGACGTGTCAGCAGACATTACTCGTTTCAAATAAATGTATAACTGAAGATTTGATTGAATTGGATGTACATGATAGAATTATAGTTATAGTATTAATTAATATTTAAAAACATTTTTTCATTTTAATTGACATTTTCTGTTTTAATTACTTTTTATATTTGAATTTTTAAGTAATTTAGTTTTGTCATTTTGTTAGTTAAAACAAAAAATTGTTTTTATAAATTTAAATTTTCACTTTTAGTTATTGTAGCGCATCATATGAACCTAAATGAAAATGAGATGTTTTTTTGGCAACTAGTTAAGTTTTTATTAATATTTTAATTAGTGCTGTCAAATGATTAATCGCGATTAATCGCATACAAAATAAA